GCACTCAATCCATTGAGCTGCACTGGCCAGGGCAAGAGAGCAAAATTTTTTAAAATTATTTTAAGCCTCTCCTAAGAATTACCTTGTGAACCATATGGTAGCAATAATATTTTTTAAAATTAATCTTGAAATGAAAGTAAGAAAAGTTACATTATGAGATCAAAGAGAATATTACTTGGAAACAAATTTAACAAAAGAAGGGCAAAACATACTCTGGAAACTACTTAACATTACTGATAAACTTTTTAAAATACCTAAATAAATGGGAAGACATTTTGTGTTTATCAATTGGAAGATACGGTACACTTAAAACAGCAGTATTCCCCATATTGATCTACAGACTCAACACAATCTCTTATCAAAAAAATCCCAGTTGACTTTTTTGCAGAAATTAATAGTTGATCATAAAATTCATATGGAAATTTAAGGGTCTGAAAATATCTAAAACAGTCTTTAAAAAAAGAACAAAAAACACTCACACTTCTTGATGTTAAAACTTAATGTTAAGCCATAGTAATCAAGAATTTGTGGTTCTATCATAAGGATAGATACCTAGATCAATGGAATAGAATAAAAGTGAGAAATAAACTCACTGATTTACAGTTCATTGATTTTCAACAAATGATGTCAATTCACAGGGAGAAAGAATAACCTTTTTAACAGTGTTAGGACAACTGTACATACATATGCAAATGTAAGAAAGACCTAAATGTAAGAACAAAATCAATCAAATTTATTTTAAAATATAGGAGAAAATCTTCATGATCTTGGGCTAGGAATATCCCTCTTGGATATGACACTGAAAGCTCATACTACAAAAAAAATAGACAAACTGGACTTCTTTAAAATAAAAAAAAAAAACCTTTTGTACATCAGAGTTAGCATGTAGAAAGTGAAAATATAACCAATACAAGAGAGAAAATATTTGTAAATTATATATCTGATAAAGGACTTGGATCCAGAGTACCATATTTTCCTGTGCATAATGCACACTTTTTTGCCCAAATTTTTGAGGGAAAAATAAGGATGCTCATTTTATATGGGTAGTACCTGAAATACCTTGTATCTGTTCATGTGTTTTCTGATTATTTGTTATGTAAAATTTCTTGTACCATTCCCTGGCTGGTGTGGTTCAGTGGATTGAGTGCTGGCCTGAGAACCTAAGAGTTGCCAGTTTGATTCCTAGTCGGGGCACATGCCTGTGTTGCAGGCCAGGTCCCCAAGTAGGGTGCACATGAGAGACAAGCGCACATTGATGTCTCTCTCTCTCTCTCTTTCTCCTTCCCTTCTCCTCTGTGTAAAAATAAATGAATAGAAATCTTAGGAAAAATTACTTTAAAAATTTTTGTACTATAATATGTTCAAAAATAAATGCTAAAATTTCTTTATAATACAAAAAATAAGTAGCTAAATATAAATAAATAAATAAATAAATAATTGAGTTAAAAGATTAAAGCAAAAGTTTTTTTTTTTTTTCTGAAAGTTTAGGCCAAAAACCCTGAGTGTGCATTATACATGCAAAATACTATATATAAAGAACTCTTACAACTTGAATAATAAAAAGACAAGTAGCATAGTTTAAAAATGGGCAAAGGATCTGAACAGACATTTCTTGAAAGAGGATAAGGGAATGACCAATAAGCACATGAAAATAAAGATGCTCAATATCATTAGTCATCAGAGAAATCAAATCAAAATCATTATGAGATAGCACTCAATATCCAGTAGGATGACTATTGTCTAAAAAATAAGCCATAACAAGTGCAGGGGAGGATGCGGAGAATTAAGAACCCCAGTTCACTGCTGGTGGGAATGTGAAATGGTGCAGGCACTTTGTAGTACAGTGTGGCAGTTCCTCAATAATTAATCATAGAGTTGCCCTGTGACCAAGTAATCCCACCTTTAGGTACATACCTAAGAGAAATGAAAATGTCCAAATAAGAACTTGTCCATGAATGTTCATAGGAGCATTATTTACAATAGCCAAAAGATGGAAACTACCCAAATGTCCATCTATTGATAAACGAAGAGGTAAAGTGTGTTATATTCACATAATAGAATATTATTCAGCCAATAAGAAGTAATGAAGTACTAATTTATATTGTAATATAGGTGAACTTTGAAATATTATGCTAAGTGAGAGAAGCCAGTTACAAAAGACCATGTATTATTCCATTCAGATGAAGTGTTCAGAATAGGCAAATCTATAGTGACGAACAGTAGATTCGTGGTTGCCTCAAGCAGGAGAATTGGTGGAAAAGGAGGAGTGATTGCTACATGATATGCAGCAATGGGGTTTCTTCTTGTGGTGATGAAAATGTTACAGAATTCACTGCAGCTATGACTGCACCATATCTAAGTATACTAAAAGCCACTGAATTATACACTTAAGTGAATAAAGTGTATGGTATGTGAATTATATCTCAATACAACTGTTAAAAATATAACTAAAAGTAATTTTAAAGAATTGGAAATTTCAAATAAATTTGACTAGTTATCCAAGATAACTTTTGGATGAATGACTCCATCAGTCCTAGCATGCCATTGTAAATTCTGGTAAGGTGAGAGCCTGGGCTTCATAGTCACATTGACACTGACTTGAACCCCGTTTTAGAATGACCAATTTGCATAGCTTCTCTGAATCTCAGCTGCTTTGTCCACGAAATGCAGCCAATAATAATTCTTAGCTGTGGGTTGCTCTGAAAAATTAAAGAGTTTTTGCATCTAAAGAGGTTAGTACAGTGTTAAAAGCAGTGGCCATCATCAAATGTTTCATGCTTGTGGTCATCGCTGCATGAACTCAAAGAGAAAGGCCTGCTGAAAGGTTTCTCCCTATGATTGCACATTCTGATCCTTCTCCCTGGATCACTGTCCTTGTCTCACAACTTACTTACTCCCTTCATGACCTCACTGGGAGACTCATTCAGGCTTCTTTCTTGGTGGGTGTCTTCTGACCACGTGCAGCCACGGTGTTATAGGCCCTGACTGTTTCTGCCCTTGCAAAGCCTTTATTTCATTTCTGGCAGCAGAAATGATTGGTCTATCTTACCCTGTCTGTGCTGCTTGAGAGTAGGTACTGCTGCTTCACTCCTGGATCCCCCAGTGTTTGGTAGGTGCTCAGTTTATCCTGGTTGAAAGCATGAACATGACACTACAGGGCCTAAGTGGATTGCTTGAACTTCTTGTGCTTCCATTTGACTTCTAAACATTAGTTTGCTGGTAAATAGAATAATCTGAAATATTTTGTGTTGGGAACTTTTAATGATTTGGCATCACAGATTTATCTAGTATGCTTTGGGATGATAGTATAGTCCACCCATTAGAATGGAAAGATAGAGCCCTGGCTGGGTGGCTCAGTTAGTTGGAGTGTCATCCTTTGCTACACCAAAAGGGTGTGGGCTCAGTCTTCAGTCAGGGCACATACTTAGTTTGTAGGGTTTGATCCAGGGTCAGGGCCTGTTTAGGAGGCAACCAATACATGTGTGTGTGTCTCTCTCTCCCTCTCTCTTTTCCTTACTCTCTCTAAAATCAACAAACATATCCTGGGGTGAAGATTAAAAAAAACAACTGTTCCAAGTCAATAGAAAATCGCTAATCAGTGATAGATTGGAAAGAATTATACCTGATATTTCTTCATTTAGAAAGGTTCTTTTTTGAGTCAGAAGCTCTGTGTGTTGTATAAACTACCACAGAAAGTTGAAATTTTGGCTTTCTGAAAGTACTCTTTGAACTTCTAGGAGAAACTGAAAATGTGGATTTCCATGGAAGTCCTGTTGTCATTTTTAATAACATGGCGTTGGTTTAAATGTATATACTGTGTTTGTATAGTAAGTGAATCTAGTATATGTTTGAACTTGCACTGAGCCATATTCTTGCCAAAATCTACTTAGAAAAATTCCCCTTATTGTGCCAATTTCTGTAGAAACCAAAAGTATTCATCACAACATTCACCTTCCTGCTTCATCTGTAAAGGGACAAAGATAAAGTTATTGGTAAAGTATGATAATAATCTACCTAAACTGTGTGAAACCATTATTGACTAGTTCATATAGGTGTTATTACCTTGAGAATTTGGCATTACTTGATGTTTTGTGGTAACTTTACCTACATACAGAAGCATGGATAGAATTGTCTCCACAGTGTCTTCTAATTTTACCCTTTCTTTGTGTGTGTGACCTGTTAAAAGTAGATGGAGGTTCATATTAAAGACCAGAGAATATTAAAACAATTTCATTATTTTCTTAAATATGTGACACCTTTCAATCATTCATTTCAAATATTAATAAAAAATTCAGGAGCCCGTTTTTGCCAATAACACTTCAATGAAATTGGAAGCTAGCACTGCGGTAAGTATAGTATAGAGAAACTTTTGATTTAGACCTGTAACCTATTTTATAATTGGATGGCTATGCAAGCCTCTAAATAGAAGTGATCTTCTCTTGTTGACAAGTCAAATGCACTCCTTGTTTGTGACTTTTAACAGTTACATACCCCGTAAGCTAAGTTACTTTCTCCTCCTCCGCCCCAGGAGCCCCAGAATAGCTTTATTAATAGGAATATATGATGTTTATGTTCTTAAAAAATCAGGGTGGTCTTAGATGCCTGTCTTCCATTCTGGCACTTCCTTTATTATACAACCCTTTTGAATTTTCTGTTTAAAAACTGGCATTGTGGCGGCTTTTCCTTGGCCTAGTGCCTGGGTTACATATTGCAGCAACAAATTAGGAATGTTAAGACATAAGTCCCCCAAAGAAAAATGTTTGTTATGAAAGTAGAGCTGATGTGACACTTAGAATTAGGGCTTCTTAACTTGTCTAAATGGCAGTTAATGATCTTTTTCTTTTATTTTTCTTTCTTTTTTCCCCCTTAAATTATTACTTTAAAGAAGGGGAGGGAAAAGTTTTAAAAGGAGTGCCTAGAGGCTGAGGTTGGGTTTGGTTCACCAAACTGTTACATGTCAAATGCATTCTACTGATAATACATCTTTTGTCTCTTTTTAGGAGCTAATTTTGTTACTCGAAAAATTAGTCGGTCAGTAGCTAAGATTTACCTTGGACAACTGGAATGTTTTAGCTTGGGAAATCTGGATGCCAAACGAGATTGGGGCCACGCCAAGGATTATGTAGAGGTAGGAACTAACTCATGTTCTTAACAATTCCTATATTGATTGGTATTTTAAATCCCAGGCCTTTAGTGGCAAAGGTGGTAGCATATAAAATTTTGCTAATGCAGATATGTTTAAGCTCATACTGCTTTCAATTTAAGGCCGTTTGATCCACCAGTACATGTAGCTTATACTGAATGTTACTTGAATGAGAGAGCCTTTTTAAAAAAAATGTGTTGTTCATTGTTTTGGATGATGGAAGAAAAAAATGTTTGAATGGTGTTCTTCGCTTTCTAAAGGTTTTTTTTCAGCTCTTACTTTTTCCACCTTCTCCTTCTTTCCTTCCCAATTCACATATAACTAACTGTGAAAATAGTTTTCTGGTATAAAGGTACTGGTTCTCAGATCTTCAAGAAATACGGCCTGATTTCAATTTGTATAATGTAAGACCTTCACATTTTATTATTCTACTAAATTACTCTTAAGAGTGATATTCTTATATAGCTTTTGGTTTCTGTTGCTTAAGAGTCTGTTTATTGCCCTACACATTTCTTAAAGTGTGGCTTTTCACATCAGTGTACTTTGTCCATTAAATAAAGAGATAGAGATGTTAATGATGCTATTGCGGAATAATAGACATACTTAAAGGAAATTTAAATTGTCACGTTCGAGACTTATATACTACACATTAAAATTGGGTTTGTGCTACATATGTAAATAGTATAATCTTTCTTTAAATAAGTCATTGCATTTTACCTTGCCCTAGTTACTATGCTTTTAGATATCCATGGTGGTTCTGTGGCCATAGATCTGAATGAGCAGGTTCGTGACATTGTCATTTTCCCTGGCGCTTGCTTGTTCTTGTTTAGGTGCTTATAGATTTCCTAAGCTGTGGGGGACTGTTTCCGTCTTTCAGGATTCCTCCCTGGGAAACTGGGCCTGGCTTCCTTGTTCATTGATTCAGAAAGAAACTTGAACATTTACAAAAGAAAGCAAACAGGTAGTTCACTTGCTAACACAGAGGTTTGCTTAGGCATTTGTTACTATTTATGTTTATAACAATTAAAAATGTTGTATACTTGAACACCTAGCACTGATTTATATTATGAACAAAAAATAGCTCAGATTTTAAATTTTGAACATTACAACATTAAATACATTCAATATTTAATATATAGATTGAAAAATTAAAACATTTAGATATACTCTTATGAGCTTTAATTACAAAGAAGCATTTAATGACATTAGTCAGATATATTTTAAGAATGTTACATTAAAAAATATCAAAGGCCACACTTTCAGAAATTATTAGAAAATGGGAGGAGGGAGATATTAGCAGAAGCTGAATTTGTGTAACCTATATGACCTTACCTACTTAAAAATGTGAGGCAAGTTTTTAAAAAATAAGTACATCATTTCTTCAATAGTATCATTTTGATGTAAGCCTTCTAGCTATCTGAATATACTTAAGAGTTTTACAGAAGGCTATTTTGTTGTCTTTCTTTATCCAAACTCTTGTTCTTTGAATTCAGGAACTAAATAGATCACATTTCATTCTATTTTATTTTATATTTTTGCACTGGAGTAAAGCAAAAGTTTGTATCAGAATGCAAAAATAGATTTTGATAGGGAGAGAAACATCAAAATGTTAATGATGCTTATTACCAGTTATGTTTATGTTCTTTTTTACATATATCTGTTTTTCATATATTTGATGTTAAATATATATAAAGTTTTTAAATCAGGAAACAAAATAAATGACATTTTAAAAACCTACCAACAATGCATGAAACTGTTAAATAAATATATAAATAACTAGAAAGTCTTTTGTGAGCTTAGTGAATCTGGAAGAAGGACCCTGCTGTCATTTTATTCCCAAAATGCCATGGCTCTCACTGTTCCTGGGTATAGCTCAAACCTTGGTACAAAGGGCCCATATTTGTATTCATTTAAAATAAACATATTTTGGAAATATTTTGGCTCAGAGACTTCAAAAAGTTTTCCCTAATGATGTCATTTTGAAGAATCCTTAACAATATGGTATCAGTACAGCATACCAGAAGTCAAAACATTTGTGTAAAAGCAAGATATTCTGGCCTTACAGTAAAATACAAAATTTTCAAATTTTACAGAGGGACGCACATAAAAAATTAAGTCATTCTCATTGGCATTAAGACCTGATTTGTTCCACAATACAAGTACGTTTTAATATTAAAGATCCCCTTGGAATTCTGACTGTAACACATGTAAGGAGCATTGTATATGTACTTTTATGGGTTCTTGATTTCTAAAAAAAGTATCATTAAGTAAGAAGTCATAGTTTGCTATCACCATTTTAAGAAATATAAAGGGATGGTAAATATAAAGGGATGGTAATCCCTTGCCTTCTTAAATGTATTAAAATAAGATCACTTCATAGACTTACTACTAAAAGTAAATATTGCCAAAATTAAAATAAAAAAGCACGAGAATAAAAAGAGAAGCGTTGTTTTGTCTAAACTAGGCCTGCATCCTGGCAGTGCAATTGGCTTTGGAGTGAGGCGGCCTTGAGAGCACAGATCAAGACAGCTAGTACTAGCATCTCATCTATACACATTGTGACTGTGTACTCCCCTTCTTTATACACAAATGTATTGTGTTGGTAAGTCTTTAGATGAAGTGCCATACTTCTTTACTTATGGTTGGATTTCCATGATGGACAGCTGAGAGCGTTGGACAAACAGGGTGTAGGTGATCCAGGCTGTGTCAGTGATTTGCTCCTCAGCTTTAGACAGGTTTTATATCTAAATTTACCCATCTGTAAAAAGGACATAATAACAGCCCTGTAAAAATTAGCATTAATATGCTGTATATAACATGATTAGAATCTACCTCTGCCTTGTAAACATTTTTGCAACAGTTTATACAAAGCCACTTCCTGTTGCTGAGTCAGGATCATTAACATACATTTATAGTCTTGTTTCCTAGATCAAAGTTAGTTTTAAATTATTTGGGTGGGTAAGAAGTATTTCAATTTGAAATGAAGAATATAAAAACTATATTAAATTATATTATTGTGTTTCAGAATAAAAAGTTATATGCAGTTTCATCTTTTCCAATATTTTATTATAAACAACTTAAACATCCAGAATAGTTGCATGACTTTTACCAAAAATATCCTTATACTCACCAACCAGGTCTTATAATTAATATTTTTGTTACATTTTAAGGAACAAAAAAATTCATATTTAAAAATTGCTGTAGTGGTAATGGCTCAGAGCTATAAATACTCAATTTACACAAACACAGGTTATCAAAAATTTGCATTTCTTGTGGGATATAGTCGATTGGCAACTCCAATGTTTGAAATGTTTTTATCTTTTTATATAATTGTGATAACACACAGCCTGTTTTTATGCCTCCCCCTCCCTATATATTGAAGCAACTCCACATATTCATGAGAACACAGTGGGGTTTATATAACACATTCGGGTCCATTCTTGTCGTCAGCAGTAGTGCCTGAACACTACTCCGGGTGACATTGTTTCTTTAATACATCTTCTATGGAGTACTTATGGTCTTCTACTAGTTGCTAAAAATAGCAGTCCTCTAAATTTTGTCCAAAGTCAAATAGCCCAGCAATCACAAAGGTAAGCAAATTTCTTTATTGTAAGACTGACTTCTCAAAACTTATGATATGTGAATGTGCATCATAGCCTGCTAGGGTTAATAAAGGATTTCTAAAATGTATTTAGTCTTTCTGCCATTTTAATAAAAAGTAAATGGCATCATATGTTTAAATAAAATTAACGGAAACCATTTGGTTAACAAGGTCCCATTATGATTCCACCTTGATAAAACTAGGTAGAACACAACTGTAGCCAGAAAACATGGCTAGGCTAGAAGGATCTTTCAGCATTGACCACTAACAAAATGGTTCCTTGCTCTTGAGATGCACGGACAATCAAGTAACCTAAGTCTGAGCCCTTCTTAGTAGCACTCAGTGAAAACTCATCGCTGCCAACAGCCAACCAGACGGATGCTCTTGAAGAGTTCAGGTGCAGTCCAGGGGACATTCAAATTATTGGGTGAGGATGGACATTTATGAATTTTAATATCACATTCCCTCCCACACACCATATTCTTTTTTCCTCTGCTTTTTCTTTCTTTTTTTGTGGGGAGTAGGAGGTGGGGGTCAGGAGCCTAATTAGTAAAGAAAGCTACTTTTAGAAAAGAAAATAATAATTGCTGGATGATGGGCATTTGTTTATGTGCCAGAAACTTTGCTAAGGACTTTATATACATTGTGTTATATAATATGTACAACAATCCTGAAAGGTAGAGAGTATATCTCATTTTATGAAAAAAGGGACCGAGGTTAAGAGAGGTCAGATAACATATTCATCCCAAACTATGACCAGTTGAAATGAATGAAGCCAGAACTCCAGCCCTGGCTCAGTACCTAACCCACACTAACAACTACTTATTTTTAGTGAAGCAAGGAGAATAGGGACATTAGCAGTGGGATCTGCATAACTTTCCATTTTGCAGCAGGACAGAACATTAAGTTTCTGTCACTTTTCTTTTTCTCCCATACATAGTCCATGGGGAAAGACAAATATGTGGAAGAGACTGGCTGACTCAGCCATCAGAACTTTCTGAACTCACTATATTGGCTCTATCAGGCAACAAGGCAAAGGGTGTACTGGGGGAAATGGGTAGTTAGGTGGCTCTCTTTCCCTTTGTCCATTGGCTTCTTAAGTAAGGTAACTTTAATTCCAGCTTTCAGTTCTCAGCTCCTAACAGAAACCTTGGGTTAAACGGGGAGCCTCTGGCAGTGGGGAACAGACTGTTAGCAGAGTTGGGGAGAACCGACCATCGTTTCTCAGTCCTTGCTTTCTCATCTAGTCCCGTGTAGTCTGCTGTTAGCACTTTGCATTCTGTGATAGTTCACACAAATTTGGAAGAAAAGGGTGCCATTTGAACATTTGGGATTTTATTTAAGGGAAAGCATGCTTTCATGCAACATCAGAAACCTGTTCTTT